TCGCAGAAGCGCCCCTACAGCTTCATGACGTTGCTTTGCACTAGTGCTACGAACGGTAGCATCCAGTGCTTCCTTGAATGGTAGCTTCGCGATACTGCCTTATAGTAGCATTATCCAGCGGTGCCTGAGATGGTGCACCAAAGAGAAAATGGGGAAAATTAGGGTTTGGGGTAAAGATTTGGAGGTGGGAGCCTCTAGTGCAATTTTTGAAATTACAAGTTCCGCTTACAATTTCAAATTGAGGGTCAGTTTGCAAATGTTGGTGGTGGTGGTAAAGAGTGTTTTTGTTGTTATTGGCGGTGGATGGCGGTGTGAGTGGCTGAATGATGTGTGAGTTGCTGGTTGACAGGTTGCAGGTGGGAAAGTAGATATCGTTGTCGATAATAGTTTAGATGAAGAGTTGATGCTTGTCAGGAGAGACGAAGATGACAGTGTTTTTGGTTGTTGTGGATCGATCGACTGCGTAGATGAATAAAGTGCTGGATCGGTAGAGCTCTTATCCTTGGAAACAGCATCAAGGTCGAGATGGTGATGGTTGTGGGTGTAAGGATGACTGGATTGATGTGGTGGTGGTGGAGGCGTAGCGACGCCGCTGCAGAGTAAGAAGGTTGCAACCGGAGTTGGTGGTGTCGGCGAACCTTTTCTGTTCTATGACCAGATCACGATTTGACTACCGGATAGTTTGTTGTGACCGTTTGTAATTGGTTAATTGTGACTCGTTGTGACCGATTGTGACCGATTGTGACTTGAAATTCTGAAAATTTTTTGGAAGTTGGGAATGGGTGGATAGGGTGGGTAAGTTGATCGGAGCATGCGTTGGAATGGTCATTTGAGCAGTTTGCCGAGGGATCGTGAATAGCCGCTAAAGGGAGCGTCGAGGTTACCGTCGGAATAGTTGCCAGAGCGGCAGTCGAAATTGTTACCGGAGCGACCGCCAGAGTAAATGGCCGCCTCCGATGGAGAGAAGGGGTAGGGAGAGAGAGAAGAGAGAGAGAGAGAGAGAGAGAGAAAATGATTTGGATTTGAAATTTAATA